ACTTGCTGCTAAGACAACTTCGAGCTTCTTGCTCAAGGCAGTGAGGGAGAGCACCTCCTTGACAGAGCTGTGCACTGCTCAGTGGGGGAAGGGCCGGCCCCCACCACACTGAGCTTTCTAGGATTGGCTGAGGATGGTGAAGTCACAGTTTAGGACTGGTGAAAGCAGCAATGCCAAGGTCCTGGGGTGTTCACAGAGTCTCAGGAGCTTTTTTTTTTTTTTTTTTTGAGACTGAGTTTCACTCTTGTTACCCAGGCTGGAGTGCAATGGCACGATCTTGGCTCACCGCAACCTCCGCCTCCTGGGTTCAGGCAATTCTCCTGCCTCAGCCTCCTGAGTAGCTGGGATTACAGGCACGTGCCACCATGCCCAGCTAATTTTTTGTATTTTTAGTAGAGACAGGGTTTCACCATGTTGACCAGGATGGTCTCGATCTCTTGACCTCGTAATCCACCCGCCTCGGCCTCCCAAAGCGCTGGGATTACAGGCGTGAGCCACCACACCCGGCCAGTCTCAGGAGCTTTTAAGGAGTAAGCTGTCCGTCAAGGCCTATCAAGGTCTTGTGAGGTCTTCAAATGAACAATATGGTTATCTGTCTGGCAAAAGTCTTCTGGAATAGTAAATGGTACTAATGCAAATAAAGTACAGTCAAATTATACTGATAAGGACAGGGAGCTTGGGTGATTTAGACGCTACTCTGTATACTTATGTCATCTCTGTGTCTACAGTTGGCCCTCCCTGTCCATGGATTCTGAATTCATGAATGGATTCGACCAACCATGGATGGAATTTGAATATATTGGTGTGAGGGGGGGATGTGGGTCTGTACTGAAGAGGTACAGACTTTTTTCCTGTCATTATTCCCTAAACAGTACCTTACAACAACTAGTTACACTGCATTAACACTGTATGACTTAGAGTATACAGAAGGAATGTGTGCAATTGTGTGCAAAATACTCTGTATTTTATAACAGGGACTTGAGCATCTGGGGATTTTGGCATCTACAGGTTGAGTGGAGGCGGTCCTGGAATGAATCTCAACCAGACATTGAGAAACAATTATGTTTCTATTCTCCTTATTCATATAAACTCTGCACTAATGTGCCCAGGTGAGGGGGAAATGAAGGCATAGAGCCACCTTCTGTACATGCCCCGACTGTGAACACCCAGAGGGGCTGCCCTTACCTAATTTGCACTGATTCCATAAAGGCGCTATTAGCACTCACATACAATTGATTTTTGAAACACAGAAAGACCTGTACTCTGAGTGGACCACACTCTGTACCTTGCTTTCTTCTTACTGCTGGGTGGGAGAGGTCTTTCCACATCATCACAAACAGATGGACGTCATTTCTGTAGTGGCTGCCCCCTAATCCTTAGAAATGTATCCCAAAATATTTAACCAGTCTCATACCGTGGCAAGCTTGAGTTGTTTCTAGGTTTTAGCTCTTAGAGTGAGCATCCTTGGGAGGAAGTATCTAACCAAGGCTGCCTGAGTTAAAATCCCTATATACTGTGTGATTTTGGGCAAGTCCAAAATTATACCTTGTTGGTTCAAGTGATTCTCGTGCCTCAGCCTCCCAAGTAGCTGGGATTACAGGCGGGGCCACCATGCCACGCTAATTTTTGTATTTTTAGTGGAAATGGGGTTTTACCATGTTGGCCAGACTAGTGTCGAATTCCCGACCTCAAGTGATCCTCCCGCCTTGGCCTCCCAAAGTGCTAGGATTACAGGTGTGACCTGATAAGTCCCTTAATTTCTTCACTTTCAGTTTAGTTATCAATAAGAAGGGCATAGGACCTTCCTTATGGTGTCATTTTGAGGATCCAATGAGATGATCTGCTTCGGAAATGTTTACCCTGCTTTGTTATAACAACCACTCATACATAAGTTCCTACTGATCACAATTACCACAGGGTAAATTTGTGCAATTTCTGGGTCAAAAGGCACATATTTTTTCACTTTCCTAGATACAAATTGTCTTGTTCTACAGCATTTAAACTCTACCGACGGTGTCTGAGCTGCCATTTCTCTGAAATGGGAATCAATCCCTGACCTTTTAGTCTGCCCGAGAGATTGAATCTTACAGCTGTGTGACTTGCAGATGGAACATTTGTGGTTCTTTTATCTGCTTGTCTGTTTTGCTGTTGGGTTAGTGCTCTTTTCCTTGTAAATTTTATGAGCTCATTAAAATTAAGGGGATTGCTTTCTTTTCCATCACATGTAATATAAAAATTGTTCAGTTTGCTTTTGATTTTATGAGTTTATATATAGTATTGGGGGCAATTTTTTTCCTTTGGTAGTAAAATATATTAATTATGTCTTTAACAGTCTTTGGAGTCTATATCCTGCGTGGAAAGTCTGCACTAACAGAACTATATACAAAAACATTCATGCTTCTTTTTATAACTTACCTGGATTAATGAACCCTTTTCTCAATCTGGCACTGATTTTGGTGTAAGAAGTGAGGTAAACAGGGATTTTTTTTAATGGTTTGTTGGTTGTCCCCAAGGCATTTGCTGAACATTTTTTTTCCTTTGTGCTTTGCAATGCCACCTTAAATTATTTTGTGTCTCTTGTCTCTTTCTGGACTTTCCATTCTGTTTCACCAAAGTACTGCCAATACCAAGTAGTTTTCATTACTGCAGCCTTATAATAGGTTTTCGTACGGTTAGATCAGTAATCCATTTTTCCTCTCGTCTTTCCCAATGTTATTGGCTTATTCAACACCTTTATTTTATTTATTTTCAACATTTATTTTTATTTTTGAGCTGGAGTTTTGCTCTTGTTGCCCAGGCTAGAGTGCAATGGTGCGATCTCGGCTCACCGCAACCTCTGCCTCCCGGGTTTCAGTGATTCTTCTGCCTCAGCCTCCTGAGTAGCTGGAATGACAGGCAGGCACCACTACGCTCAGCTAATTTTTGTATTTTTAGTAGAGACGGGGTTTCTCCATCTTGGTCAGGCTGGTCTCGAACTCCTGACCTCAGGTGATCCACCTGCCTCAGCCTCCCAAAGTGCTGGGATTACAGGCGTGAGCCACTGCTCCCGGCCCATTTATTTTACTCCAAACTGGAAACTGGATGAATTCTAGTTTTTGTTTTTTGTTAGGCTCCCCCAAAAATCCCAATGGTATGTTATTTTTTTTTTTTTTTTTTTTTTGAGACGCAGTTTCGCTCTTGTTACCCAGGCTGGAGTGCAATGGCGCGATCTCGGCTCACTGCAACCTCCGCCTCCTGGGTTCAGGCAATTCTCCTGCCTCAGCCTCCCGAGTAGCTGGGATTACAGGCATGTGCCACCATGCCCAGCTAATTTTATGTATTTTCAGTAGAGATGGGGTTTCACCATGTTGACCAGGATGGTCTCGATCTCTTGACCTCGTGATCCACCCGCCTCGGCCTCCCAAAGTGCTGGAATTACAGGCGTGAGCCACTGCACCCGGCCCAATGGTATGCTATTTTAAGGTTGCTTTAAATTTATAAACTTAGAAAAATTGACCATTTATCATATTAAGTATTGCAATCCAAGAGTGAGTTTTCTTGCTATTCAGTTAAATTCTTTTATATCTCTCAGTAGAATAGGGAGATTTTATTTGTATATACCCTGAACATTTCCTTTAAATATTTCACTGAGGTAATTTTCTCTTGGATTTCTTATTGTGAATAAGATCTTTACTTCCTTTTAGTTTTTTTAATACTTAGAAAAGGTATTAATTTTTGTGTGATGTTGTGACATACGCCCCTCTACTCAAGTTTCTAATAGGTTCTCAGCATTTTTGGGGTTTTCTATGTATAGAAAAATCATCATTTACAGATGATTTATTACTGTATATGATAGTAGTATAATAGCATATCATATATAGTATATATAGTAATAAATCAAAATGCTGTATTGTGGTGTATGATAATAAATCATCTGTAAATAATTATAATTTTCCATTTTCCTCTAATATTATTCTTTTCTTTTTGTGTAAATGCACTGGATTTTATCTCTAAATTAAAGTTAAATATTAGTGATGATATAGACTAGGCATGTCTTGCTTCTGCCTTTAAAGATTCTGTTTCTAGTTACTCACCATGAAGCCTGATGATGGCTTCTAGCTTGACACATATATTCTTCCTTCTTTAATTTAAAAAAATCAGAAATGGGCATTGAACTGCATTTCCTGGGGGTGTTGACTGAGAGTTAGTCTGATGGTAATAGCTTCTTATTGGACTAGCCTCGCATTCCTGAAGTCAGCTCATCTTGGTCCCAGTGTGTTATTTTTTCATTTACAGATGGATTTTATTTGTCCACATTTTGTTTAGCGTTTTAGCATAGATGTATAGTTTTGAGTTTAAAAAATAAACCATATTTCAGCACAATTTTAAGCTCACAGCAACATCGAGTGGAAGGTATAGTGGTTGTCCATAAACCCTTTCCTCACATCTGCATGGCCTCCTCCGTCATTGGCCTCTCTCATCGGAATGAAATGCTTGTTACAGGGCCGGGTGTGGTGGCTCACGCCTGTAATCCCAGCACTTTGGGAGGCCGAGGCGGGTAGATCACAAGGTCAACAGATCGAGACCATCCTGGTCAACGTGGTGAAACCCCATCTCTACTAAAAATACAAAAAAGTAGCTGGGCACAGTGGCACGTGCCTGTAATCCCAGCTACTGGGGAGGCTGAGGCAGGAGAATTGCCTGAACCCAGGAGGCGGAGGTTGCGGTGAGCCGAGATTGCGCCATTGCACTCCAGCCTGGGTAACAAGAGCCAAACTCTGTCTCAAAAAAAAAAAAAAAAAAGAAATGCTGGTTACAACCGATGAACCTACATGGACACATCGGTGTCACCCGGAGTCCATAGTTTCCACCGGGGTTCACTCTTGGTGCTGGACATTCTATGGGTTTGGGCGAATGTATCATGACACATGTTCATCATGATAGTAGGACAGAGATCATTTCACTGCCCTAGAAATCTTCTGTGCTCCCCAATCATCCCTCCCTTCGCCCACCCCCTCGCAGTCACTGATCCTTTTACTGTCTCAGTAGTTTTGCCTTTTCTAGAATGTCGAATGGCTGGAATCACAGTCTGTAACATTTTATTTCACTTGGTGAAGTTCATTTCAGGTCACTTGATGTCTTCTCATTGTTCGATATTTGTTTCATTTTAGCATGAAATAATATTCTATTGTCTGGATGAAGCACAGTTTATTTATCCATTCACCTACTGAAGGACATCTTGGTTGCTTCCAAAGTTGGGCAATTATGAAAAAAAGCTTTCATAAACATTCATGTGCAGGTTTCTCTGTGGACAGAGATTTCATTTGGGTAAATGTCAGGGAGCACAATTGCTGGGTTGTCTGATAAGAGTATGTTCATTTGTAACACTGTCAACCTGTCTTTTTTTTTTTTTTTTGAGACGGAGTTTCACTCTTGTTACTCAGGCTGGAGTGCAATGGCGCAATCTTGGCTCACCGCAACCTCCGCCTCCTGGGTTCAAGCAATTCTCCTGCCTCAGCCTCCCAAGTAGCTGGGACTACAGGTGTGCACCACGACGCCCAGCTAATTTTTGTATTTTTAGTAGAGACGGGGTTTCACCTTGTTGACCAGGATGGTCTTGATCTCTTGACCTCGTGATCCACCCGCCTCAGCCTCCCAAAGTGCTGGGATTATAGGCGTGAGCCACCGCGCCTGGCCCAGCCTGTCTTCTAAAGTGTCTGCACTATTCTGCATTCCCACCAGCAATGAATGAGAGTTCCTGTTGCTCCATATCCTCACCAGCATTCGGTGTTGTCAGTGCTCTGGATTTTGCCTATTTTAATGAATGTGTAGTGGGTTAGCAAAAAATTTTATTAAAATTTTTTTCTACATATTTTTATTTGCATTCTTCTTAATTATTCTGTATGAATATTGTGCCAGTTTATAAAGAGAAATTTGAATGATTCTTTCTTTTCTCGTTCTGAAATACTTCAGATGGTATCAGATTTATAAACTCCTGGAGAGTTTGAAAGAATTTACCTTTGAAACCATTTAAACTTAACAGATTTTGAGGGTGGGGCTGGGAGGTCATTTTTTTGAAGCTTTCTCAACATCTTCCATGGGTATTGGTCTGTTGCGTAGTTTTCTATCTCAAGGCCCATTTTGGTCATCTATATTTTTTGAAAATCATTTCCTCTATTTAAGTTTTCAAGTGTATTTGTCTAGGTTATTGTAGAATCCTCTGGAATGATTAGTGTCTCTGTATTCATGCTTATTTTGCCCTTTTCGTGTATAATGTGTGATCGCGCTTGCTAACTTTACTTCTGGAATAAGCTATACGGTAGTTCGTCTCCATTACCCACCCCCAAAATGACCATTATGCTTATTAATTTCCAACTTTATATTCTTTTTTCCTGCTCTCCTTGGGTTTATTGCTCCTTTTCTAATTTCTTAAGCTGGACACTTTCTTTCCTTGTTTAGATATGTAGGTGTTTAAGGCTATAAATTTTCCTGGGACTGGCATTAGGAAAACCACAGGCCATCGCAGAGGATTGCTGGAGGGGTGGAGTTTTCAGCGAGAGCGCCTAATCCCAGTTAGGAGAAGTCTCGCCCAAGGTGGTAGAACTGCTTGGCCACACCTGTCCCATCTGAGTACCCTCCTTTACCTTTTGGTAAAAGACTCTGGCCCCTTGCTGTCACAATCGGGGCCTGGCTTCAACACAAGATTGGTGGAATCTCTGCAAAGTGCCTGAACTTTTCCCACTTGACACTTGAATGGAGGCCCCCACACCTGCCCCTTGGGGCCTGGCTCCAAGAGCAGGCTGCTTGCTTTGTTGCTAGTTTTCTTGGCTCCCTGCTCTCACAGCGACAGCCATGTCTGCTTCAGAGCCTCGCCTGCTGGCCTCCACTCAGCCCCCATGCGTGGTGAGAAAGTAAGTGACCCAGCCTGTCTCTCGCGCTGAGCAAAGCCTTCTGGTCCATGCACTGTTGTGCAGTTGATGTCAGCCTGCCCTGTGGCCCAGGGAAGCACAGATCGCCTCTCTCGGGCTGTTGTCCCAGCTGCTTCCCCACAACCTGTAGCTCTGCCAAGCTGCCAAACTCTCCCTTGACCTCATTGCTAATAAAACCTTCCACCAGGTGGCTCTCATGTTCCTGTAAAGGACAAAAGTGAGAAAAAGAAGACAAAATGCACAGGTTTTTAAAGAGGGAGGGGCAGGTGACGGAGAGAAATAAACAAGGGCCTTGTCCAGATCTGCTCTGAAAGGACATCTGTCACTTGGCAGCTGCCTCAGGTGCCCTGAATTTACTCTGGGATTTGGGATGAGTCAAGATACTCAGCCGCTGTGCCAGGCTTGGCATCACCTTGTGTCCTGTTCCTACTGGCCACTGTGAGTGGTAGAAAGGTCCCCTCAAGCTCCCTGCAAATGAGTCCTCCTTACCTATTGGGATCATTGACAGGTCCCCAGTTCCTGTGGCTGACGTTTCATGGGGATCCTTTCTCTTTAAAACAACAGCATAAATAAAGGGATCCAGTGATGAGCAGGACCCCCTGAGCTCCTTTTGCACAAGCCCAGTTGGGTTGGAACAGACATGGAGGCAACAGACATGGAGCCACGTGGAGCAATGTGCAGCCGGCATACCTCATGACCCAAGCGGCTGGCTTTGGGCTCAGTCTCTTTTTCCATTCTAGGCTTTCCATGCTGCTGTTCTAAGGCAGGGGAAATGGGAAGGACTTTGCAACATTCACACTGGGGCCCTAAAATATGAACTGGATCTTGGAAGACAGCTCCGCAGGCTGCCGTGAATACCACTGAAGGACCCAGACACCATCAGGCTTGCATCTTACATGTGCTTGAGCAGGAGTCCTTAACCTGGACCTAGCAAGGCTGTCCTCTGTGGAAGAATCTGACCCCTTGGGCATGCAAAAGCAGACACACTAGGTCAGATCAGGGATGAAAAAGTGACAAGTCAGATGGCCAGGCAGCTATGGCAACTTAGTGTGCACGGTGGCCAGCAAGAAAATGTAGGGGGCCGGGCGCGGTGGCTCACACCCGTCATCCCAGCACCTTGGGAGGCCAAGGCGCATGGATCACTTGAGGTCAGGAGTTTCAGATCAGCCTGGTCAACATGGTGAAACCCCATCTCTACTCAAAATACAAAAATTAGCCAGACACACGTGGTGGCACGTGCTTGTAATCCCAGCTACACAGGAGGCTGAGGCAGGAGAATTGCTTGAACCTGAAAGGTGGAGCTTGCAGTGAGCCAAGATCACACCATGCACGCCAGTCTGGGTGACAAAGTGCCACTCTGTGTAAAGGAAAGAAGAAAGGAGAGGATAGGAGAAGAGAAGACAAAGAAAAGGGAAGGGAATGGAAGGGAAAAGGAAAAACGAAAGGAAAGGGAATGGCACGGGAAGGCCAGGCCTATGAGTAGGAGTGTTGCTTGGAATTTATTAGTAAGAATAAAATACTGAACTTCAGATAATTTATTCCAAGGAAGAATGCATTCAGAATTATGTATCTAATTTCATCCAAATGATACACTTTATATAATCAGTCTGTAGATGAGGAGATAAAGGCAACTGATAGAGAACTACATGAAATGCACAGAAAATGCCTTCTGGATTCTGGCAGTCCCTGACTCCAGAAACTCCAGCGGTGTGGGAATCACAGCCCGCCATTTGCAAGGTAGATGGCCTGGATGAAGCCTGCGGAGCTGTCTTCCAAGATCCAGTTCATATTTTAGGGCCTCAGTGCGAATGTTGCAAAGTCCTTCCCATTTCCCCTGCCTTAGAACAGCAGCATGGAAAGCCTAGAATGGACAAAGAGACTGAGCCCAAAGCCAGTCTCTCTCTGAGCCTCTATTTCCTTACTTGTAAGAATGATGTCTTCCTCTGAGATATGTTCTGAGGGTTAAATGAGATACATCTGGAAGCACCTGGCACAGAAAAAGTGCTCAGAAAACATTTTCATTTCCAAAAAAGAAGCTGAGGTCACCCGAGCTGTGAATGTCAGAGCTTAGATTTAAACTTGTTCTCTTGGCTGACTTTCAACAACCAGTCCTTGCACTGATGGATTAAAAAGTATTTATTGAGGCTCACCATGTGTCCATCTAAGGAGTTAAATTTATAACAAAAAAAAAAACCCCACATCATTCCTGACACGGCTGAATCTAGCGGATGAGGGCTACTGGGCTCGCAGCGTATCTGTGAGGGCTCAGCAGGGAATCGCACTGTTCAAACAGTGGAGACTTCATGCAGACTTACACAGGTATTGAAGGGCTAAGAAAAAACCAAAAGGGAGCACTGAGTTACCGGTGTCATGACTGTAGGAAATAGAGGTGAACACGTTTCCAGAATGCAGGTGCTTGGAGGATAGGCCCCTGGGATCCCAGGGGATTGGCTCTCTATGGCTGATTCCCAAGCTCTGGGTATGTGGCAGGGCTTGGAGCTGCTGGTTGTACCACGGAGAAGAGGAGAGTCCTGTGGCTGATGCCGAGACCTCTGAGAAGAGGATACAGACGAGTAGGCGGTGGGACCTCCACAGAGGACATTCAGACTGGCAGGTGAAGGAGGTGGAGGGATGAAACTCTATTTCTCAAAGGGGTCCCACCTGACTCGGGTGAAGACTGGGAGCTAGGGCCATGGCATTGGCTGCTGCTAACAGAAGCTAGCAATTAAGAAGGAAGCCTCTTCTTATTCCCTTCTGTTTTCCAGTCCCTTCTTAACAGTTCTTATTTGCAGAGCTGACAGAAAGTCAACTGGCAAGGGAGTCTAGGACACAGGGTTTGTAGAGCCCCAGCCCCAGCTGCACAGAGCGGGGTTTAGAAGGAAGATTTAGAGCTGAGAGATATAGGTAAATAACTAGCCCAGTCTATCCCACTGACAAACCAGCATGCATACACACCTTTAAATGCATGTTTAAAGTTCCACAAATGGTGCTAGAACAATTGAATATCCACATGCAAAAAAATAAACTTGGATCCATATCTCACACATGGTGATAAAACCAGGGGTTTTAAAGTCTTCAGACAACCAGCTTGAGCCTTTAGACTGTTGGAAGCAGATGCTCAATGCCCCAAAGAAAAACCAGCCTGGGCAACATGGTGAAAGCCTGTCTCTGTGGAAAATACAAACATTAGCCAGGTGTGGTGGTGTGTGCCTGTAATCCCAGCTACTTGGGAGGCTGAGGTAGGAGGATCGCTTCAGCCAAGGAGGTCAAGACTGCTGTGAGCTGTGACTGCACCACTGCACTCTAGACTGGCTGACAGAGTGAGACCTTGTCTCAAAAAAAAAAAAAAAAAAAGAAAGAAAGAAAGAAAGAAAGAAAGAAAGAAATATTCTATCATCAATTCTCTTGATTATCCAGAATACTGAGGGCTAGCGCTTCAATGTATGGATTTGGAGGGGACAAAATTCATCCCACAATATGTTGGAGACAAAAACCAAAAGAAAAATGCAACTGAAGGAAACAGAGTGTGCAGAAATTTTTTTGAAGAAAACGTCAAAAAAATGCTATTAGTCTTAGAGATATGAGAATATATCACGTCCATTAAACAAGAATGAGATACCATAAAACATTCAAAGAATGAAAAGGGCTCTTGAAAGTTTAAAACATGGCCAGGCACAGTGGCTCACACCTGTAATCCCATCACTTCTGGAGGCCAAGGCAGGCAGATCACCTGAGGTCAGGAGTTCGAGACTAGGCTGGCCAACATGGTGAGACCCCGTCTCTACCGAAAATACAAAAAAAATTAGCTGGACGTGATGGCTTGAGCCTGCAATCCCAGCTACTCAGGAGCCTGAGGCAGGAGAATCATTTGAACCTGGGAGGCAGAGGTTGCAGTGAGCCAGGATCGTGCCACTACAATCCAGCCTGGGTGACAGAGTGAAACTCTGTCTTAAAAAAAATAAATACAAGTTTAAAATAAGACAGTGAAATGAAAAATTCAGTAGAAAGACTGGAAAATAAAATTGAAGAAATTTCCTAGAAAGTAGAGCAGGAAGATAGAGATTAAAACTGGACAAAATATTTTTTTAAAATATATGACCAATTCAGGAAATTGAATATTCAAATAGTAGGATTTCCACAAAGAGCGCACAGAGAAAACAAAGGGAGGAAAGAATTCATGAACTCCAGCCCTTTTCTCTCTGGTTAAATTGTAAAATGTCTCAAAAGACCATCACACCCTCCCAAACAATGAGAACATGCAAGAAACCCTACAAAATCGTGGTTTTTAAAAGCCTATGAAAGGTTGAGGATGCAAGGAAACCTACATGAATAAATCCAGAAACTGATGAGTAATTTCTAGGAGAGAAGAAGCCAAAGCTGATTTCATCTTGGGCAGAGTGGTGGGAGGGGAAGAATCTGCTGTGGACAGATTGAACATCTGTGACAGAGCTGACAAAACAGATTCGTATCTCAAGGATCCCCAGCCACAGAGGAAGTTGTACCAGATTAGAAAACCCACAGATAGACCCGTATATAGTTAATAACGTAAAAATAAAATCAAGATGATTAGAAAACCCACAGATAGACCCGTATATAGTTAATAAGGTAAAATTAAAGTCAAGATGACAAGTCAATTCAATGGTAAAGGAAATAAGTGTTTCTTGATTTTTTTTTTTTTTGAATGATGTTGCAAGAACTGGAAAACCATGTGGGAAAAATACTGAACCTTAACCTCTACTTATGCCAGAGACAAAAATGAACTTGAAATGGATCAGAGACCTGAATGTAAAAGCTAAAACAATAAAACACAGGAAAATATGTTTGAGACTTTGATGTAGATGAAGACTTTTTTTTTTTTTTTTGAGACGGAGTTTTTGCTCTTTTTACCCAGGCCAGAGTGCAATGGCGCAATCTCGGCTCACCGCAACCTCCGCCTCCTGGGTTCAGGCAGTTTTCCTGCCTCAGCCTCCTGAGTAGCTGGGATTACAGGCACGCGCCACCATGCCCAGCTAATTTTTTGTATTTTTAGTAGAGACGGGGTTTCACCACGTTGACCAGGATGATCTCGATCTCTTGACCTCGTGATCCACCCGCCTCGGCCTCCCACAGTGCTGGGATTATAGGCTTGAGCCACCGCGCCGGGCCAGATGAAGACTTTTTAAATTGGATGCAAAAAAGCACTAACTATGAAGTAAAACATTAAACTAAAAAGTCTCTGTTCATCAAAAGACAACATTATAACAGCCAAACACTGAATATATCTCCAAATGTCCATCAAGGAGAACTGATAAATAAATCAAAATATACTTATACAATGGAGTCTACTCTGCAATATGAAAGAATAAACTAGTGATACATACTCCAACATAGATGAATCTCCAAAATACCATGTCCGGTAAAAGATGTCAGAGAAGACACATATTGCATAGAATCGTTTATATGATATCCCCAAACAAGCAAAAATAATCTAAGATTATAGCAACTAGAAAGTGGTTTTATTTGGAGTGGGGAGAAATTGACTAGAAAGGGAAATGATGAAACTTTCTAGGTGACAGAAATGTTCTATGTCTTCTTTGGAGTTGTGGTGATCAAAGTGAATACCACTCTCAAAATTTTCAAATGAACACTTAAGATGTGTCCATTTTACTGCTTGTAATTATACCCCCATCAAATTATCCTGAATTCTCAGCAAACTAGGGAGAAAGGAGAACTTCTTTGACTTGTTAAAGGATATCTACAAAAAAAAAAAAAAAATCCTGCGGGTAAAATTATACTCAATAGTGAGGAATTAGAAGCTTTCCTGCTAAGATCAGGAAAAAGTAAAGGATGTCACCTCTCACAACTGCTTTTCAACATCACACTGGAAGTCCTAGCTTATGACGTAAGATAAGAAAAGGAAATACAAGATAATTAGAATGGGAAGAAAGGAAGAAAAGTATCTTTGTGCTTGGACGATAGAATCATCTATGGAGAAAATCAGAAAGAATTTACCAAAAAAAACCCTAAAAGAAGTGATTATAGCAAGTTTACAGGATACAAGGTTAATATACAAAAGCCAATCACTTGCTTTTTGTTTGTTTGTTTGTTTGTTTTTGAGACGGAGTCTTACTCTGTCGCCAGGCTGGAGTGCAGTGGCGCAATCTTGGCTCACTGCAACCTCCGCCTGGATTCAAGCGATTCTTCCGCCTCAGCCTCCCGAGTAGCTGGGACCACAGGCGCGTGCCACCACGCCCGGCTAATTTTTTGTATTTTTAGTAGAGACGGGGTTTCACCATGGCCAGGATGGTCTCGATCTCTTGACCTCGTGATCCGCCTGCCTCGGCCTCCCAAAGTGGCCAATCACTTTCTTATACACTAGTAATGAACAAGTGGAATTTGACATTAAAAACACAATACCATTTAGCACCCCCACAAAATGAAATACTTAGGTTTAAATCTAACAAAATATAGATAGGATCTATATGAGGAAAAGAACAAAACTCTGATGAAATAAATCAAAGTACTAAATACAGGGAGAGGTATTCCATGTTCACAGATAGGATGACACATTATTGTAAGATGTCAGTTCTTCAACTTGATCTACAGATTCAACACAATCCCAAACAAAATCTCAGCAACTTTTTGTGGATATTGGCAAACAGATTCTAAAGTTTATATGGGAAGCAAAAGACCCTCAGAATGAATGAGATCCTGTCTCAAAAAAAAAAAAAAAAAAACAGCAACAACACAATTTTAAAATAGACAAAATATCTGAACAGACCAAGGAAAATATCCAGATGAAAAGTAAATGTTTGACATCATATATCATTAGAAAATTGCAAATTAAAATAATTAGATGCCACTACATACCTATTAGAGTGGCCAAAATCTAGAACACTGACAATTTCAAATGCTTGTGAGAATATGGAGCAACAGGAACTCCCAGTCATTGTGTTGGAAGGCAGCGTAGTGTAGCCATACTGGAAGACAGTTTGGAGGTTTCTTACAAAACAAAATATACTCAGCATATGATACAGCAATCATACTCCTTGGTGTTACCCAGATGAGTTGAAAGCTATGTCCACACAAAAGGCCACACATGGATATGGTACATCCCAGACAGCAGAATATTAGCATCTAAAACGAAATGAGGATCAAGACATGAGAAGACATGGAGGAGCCTTAAATTTATATTATTAAATAACAGAAGCCAATCTGAAAATACTATATACTGTATGATTCCGACTATAGGAGACTCTGGAAAAGCCAAAACCATGGAGACAGTAGAGATCAGTGGTTACAAAGAATCAGGGGGCAGTAAGGGTGGGTCAGCTGCTTTCCCCAGCCAGCAAAGAAAGGCAGCTAGGGTGAGAAAATAGATGGGAAGTTGAATGATGGGTGGTTTTTGTTTTTTTGGGGGGCCCTGATTCTATTAAATAGGCCATGACAATCATCAGAGAGAGAGAGAGAGAGAGAGAGAGAGAACCCAAGAGTGAATGGGTGAGCGAGGGCAGGAGAGGAGACCCAGCAGGTCTCTGGAGTGGCCAGAGGGTCCCCACTCTCCCGGCTCTTCTCAGCTCCACCCCGTCCCCACCCCATTCTGGTCTCCATCGCCCCTTCCCCGATCTCCCGACGCCCTTCTTTTTCTTCTCGCCCACCCTCTTCTGACAGGCTCCCCGGCCGCCCACTCCTCCCTCCCTCCCTCCCTCCGCCCCGCTCCCCACCGCGGCTCTGCGCGCGGAGGCCCCGTTTGCCCACCTGCAGGTCCCCGCGGTGCGTCTGGCCGCCCATAGGACCCTCGCTTTGGGGACTGCGTTTTATCAATGATAAAAATATTTCCCGAGAACTGGGCGAGCTCTACTGATGCCTCCGCGAGAGCAGGCGCCAGTTCCAGTCCTGCCGCCCCCCGCCCGGCCCTGCACCCTCCAGGCCACCCCAGCTGCCGGGGCCTCGGCCGTGGGCAGGACAGGAAAGCGGCGAGGCGGGTGGAGAGGGCCCTGAGGCCGGAGCGCGTGGGGACCACCTTCCCTCGGTAGAGACGCCGCCGCCGCGGCTCCTGGCTAGGCTGCCCCGGGTCGGGAAGGAGGGCGCGGGCTCCAGGGCGCGCGGGGCCGCGAGGGGAAGGGACAAGTGGAGGTAATCGCGCGGGACGCTGCGCACCTGGCCCCGACTCTATGGAAGTGGCTTCGAGTGGGGACTGGCGTTCCATCCCAGCCTTTGGGGCGTATTTGCGACTCTGAAACCCCAGTGCCAGGCACCTGTCCTCGTCCCACGCTTTGCCCAACTCCCGCGGGAACCCCCTCCACAGCCCTGGGAGAAATGGGGGGAGGGAATCACGAGATCGGGTCCTAGATAAAAACAAAGAGTTGGATTCCCCCCTCCCGGCCCCCGCCTCTGTTTTTGGCAACAACGTCTTTCCAGGGGCTCCAGGGAAGGGGAATTCGATAACCGCGTAACTTCACCCCTAGATGGCCCAGGCGCCGGCTGGCTCCCAGCCAAGGCCTTTCTGCGGAGCGGAGCTGCCAGCAATTTCTACAGAATGCACTTACCTTTCTCCCCCCTTCTCTCTCTTTCCCTCCCTCCTTCCCTTCTTCACTTCTTTCTCTGCTTCCAGCCCTCTGTTTTCTCTCAGTTCCTCCTTTTACCTTCCTCCTGCACCACCCAACCCCTCCCCAAGATCTTAGCTGGGCAAATCTGATGTAATCAAGCTCTGCTCCGTGTCAGCAGAGAGCCCTGCCAAGCTCTGCTTTTGCTCTCGTCTATTATTTTCCTCTTAATCCCACTGCTCATGCTTACAGTGTACTATTTGAGAGTACGAGCTAACGTGTGTACACCCACGCTTCTACAGATGTAGACGACCATGAAACCATCACCCCAATCTGCAGAGTGAACAATTTATCACCTCCAAACGTTTCCTCCAGGCCCCTGATAATTCATTCCCCATGTACCTCTCTGCACTCCCCACCTTCTAGAGGCAACCACTGATGTGACAACACATTTATTTGCGTTTTCTAAAATTGTGTGTAAATGAAATAATATACCATGTGCTCTTTTCATTTTCAGAATAATTTCAGCTTTTATTTTACATTAAAGGGTACATGTGCAGGTTTGTTACATGAGTATATTGCGTGGTCCTGAGGTCTGGGGTACAGATGATCCTGTCACCCAGGTAGTGAGTAGTAGTTTTTCAGCCGGCGTTCGGCTCTCTCCCTCCCTGCCTGCCTAGCCATCCCCGTGGTCTGCTGTTCCCATCTTTATGGCTATGTGTATTCAATGTTTAGGTCCCACGTATAAGTGAGAACATGTATTATTTGGTTTCCCATTCTTGCATTAATTCCCTAGGACAATGGCCTCCATCCGTGTTGCTGCGAATGACATGACCACTGTGAGATATTGTCTCACACCAGTCAGAATGGCGATTATGAAAAAGTCAGAAAATGCTGGTGAGGCTGCAGAGAAAAGGGAACCCTTATGCACTATTGGCGGAATTAAAAACTAGTTCAGCCACTGCGGAAAGCAGTTTTCTGAACTAGATTTCTCAAAGAACTAAGATTTCTCAAAGAACTTAGAACCAGCAATCTCATTATTGGGTATACACCCAAAGGCAAATAAGTCATTTTATCAAAAAGACACAAACAGATGTACCCATCTGTTCATCACAGTGTTATTTACAATAGCAAAGACATGAAATCAACCTAGACATCCATCAGCAGTGGACTGGATAAAGAAAATGTGGTACATATGCACCATGGAATACTATGCAGCCATAAAAAATCTATTCTTTCCTTGAGCCTGGCTTCCCCTACTCAATAGTTATTTTGAGATTCATTTATATTGTTGGAGGTATCCATAGTTCATTTTCTTTATTGCCAAGTAGTAGTTTATTGGATATTCAGTATTCTGTAGTTCGTTTGTCTATTTACATGTTGATGAGCATTTGGGTTGCTTCCAGTTTGGGATATTACAAATAAAACTTGTAAATGATTGTTCATTTACAAATTTTTGTGTAGATATATGTTCTCATACTTAAGAGTGAAATACCTGGGGTAGGTGGATGTTTAACTCTTTAAGAAGCTGCCAAAATGTCTTCCAAAGTGGTTGTACCATTTTACATTCTCACCAGTAATGTACAAAAAGTTCCAATTCCTTTACATCCTTACCAACACTTGGCATGGTTAGTTCATTGGGCCTTTAAATTTGCGTTTCCCTAAAGACTAGTCAATGATATTGAGCACCTTTTCAAAATTTATTTTCCATCTGTATATCTTTTTTAGTAACATTTTTAAAATGGGCTGTGTGTTTTTAAAAAATTGCCCTTTAAAAAAATGGGCTGTGTGTTTCCTTATGTGTTTGTTTTGTGTGTGTGTATGTGTATTATGTGTGTATGTTTGTGTGTATGTGTATGTGTGTGTGTATGTGTATTATGTGTGTATGTTTGTGTGTATGTGTCTGTATGTATGTGTATGTGTGTGTATGTGTGTATGTGTGTATGTGTGTGTATGTGTATGTATGTGTATGTGTGTACGTGTGTGTATGTGTATGTGTGTGTTTTACTCTAGTAAAATACGCATATCATGAAATTTACCATTTTAGCCATTTTAAGCGTACAGTTCAGTAGCATTAAGTACATTCATATTGCTGTGCAGCCAACATCACTATTTCCAAAATTTTTCATCATCCTAAACAGAAACTCCATTCGCTTTAAGCAATAGCTCTCTGCTCTCCTCAACCCCTGATAACCTCTCTTCTATATGTTGAGTAATTCTACGTTCAATTACTTTCTTCTTCTTTTAAAAAAATTTTTCTCCCAGTCTGTGGCTTGTGCTTGCCTTTTCTTTATTAAACAATTAAATTTCTTTTTTATTTCAGTAGGGTTTTGGGGAACAGGTGGTGTTTGATTACATGAATAAGGTCTGCTGTGGTGATTTCTGAGATTCTGGTGCACCCACCACCCAAGCAGTGTACACTGCACCCAGTGTGTAGTCTTTCATCCCTCACCCCCTCCCACCCTTTCCCCCGAGTCCCCAAAGTCCATTGTGTTATTTTTATGCCTTTGCGTCCTCATAGCTTAACTCTCGCTTATGAATGAGAACATACGATTTTGGTTTTCCATTCCTGAGTTACTTCGCTTAGAATAATGGTCTCTGGGCCGGGCGCAGTGGCTCACGCCTGTAATCCCAACACTTTGGGAGGCTGAGGCGGGTGGATCATGAGGTCAAGAAATCGAGACCATCCTGGTCGACATGGTGAAACCCTGTCTCTACTAAAAATACAAAAAATTAGCTGGGCATGGTGGCGCGTGCCTGTAATCCCAGCTACTCAGGAGGCTGAGGTAGGAGAATTGCCTGAACCCAGGAGGCGGAGGTTGCAGTGAGCCGAGATTGTGCCATTGCACTCCAGCCTGGGTAACAAGAGCGAAACTCCGTCTCCAAAAAAAAAGAATAATGGTCTCTGATTCCATCCATGTTGCTGCAAATGCCATTATTTTGTTCCTTTTTATGGCTGAGTAGTATTCCATGGTGTATATATACACCATGTTTTCTTTATCCACTCTCTGATTGATGAGTAATTTGGACTGGTTCCGTGTTTTTGCAATTGCACATTGTGCTGCTGTAAACATGGGTATGCAAGAATCTTCTTAGTACAATTACTTCTTTTTTTCTAGATAGATAACCAGGATTGGGATTGCTGGATCAAATGATAGATCTACATTTAGCTCTTTAAAGAATCTCCACACTGATTTTCATAGTGGTTGTACCATTACATTCCCACCAACAGTGTCAGAGTGTTTTCTTTTTACCATATCCTTGCTGTCTATTATTATTATTTATTTTAGACGGAGTTTCTCTCTTGTTTCCCAGGCTGGAGTGCAATGGTGCGATCTCGGCTCACTGCAACCTCCACCTCCTGGGTTCAGGCAATTCTCCTGCCTCAGCCTCCTGAGTAGCTGGGATTACAGGCATGCGCCACCATGCCCAGCTAATTTTTTGTATTTTTAGTAGAGACGGGGTTTCACCATGTCGACCAGGATGGTCTCGATCTCTTGATCTTGTGATCCACCTGCCTTGGCCTCCCACAGTGCTGGGATTACAGGCTTGAGCCACTGTGCCCGGCCATTTTTTAAGTTTTTGATTATGATCATTCTTGCAAGAGCAAGTTGGTATCACGTCGTGGTTTTGATTTGCATTTCCCTGATCATTAGTGATGTTGAGCATTTTTCCATATGCTCGCTCCTTGGCCATTTGTATGTCTTCTTTTGAGAATTTGTCTATGATGTCCTTAGCCCACATTTTGATGGGATTGTTTTATTCTTGCTGATTTGTTTGCATTACTTGTAGATTCTAAATGTTAGTTATTTGTTGGGTGTATAGATTGTGATTTTCTTCCACTCTGTGGGCTGTCTATTAAGTCTGCTTATTATTTCTTTTGCTGTGCAGAAGCTTTTTAGTTGAATTAAGACCAATATATTTGTCTTGGTTTTTGTTGCATTTGCTTTTGGGTTCTTGGGCATGTAGTATTTGCCTAAGCCAATGTCTATAAGGGGTTTTCCAATGTTATCATCTAGAATTTTTATGGTTTCAGGTCTTAGATTTAAGCTTTTGATCCATTTTGAGGTGATTTTTGTATTAGGTGAGAGACGAGGATCCAGTTTCATTCTCTATATGTGGCTTCCCAATTATCCCATTTGTTCGATAGGGTGCCCTTTCTCCATTTTTATGTTTTTCTTTGCTCTTTCAAAGATCAGTTGGCTGTATTTGGCTTTATTTTGGGGTCCTCTATTCTGTTCCATAGGTCTGTGTGCCTATTTTTATACCAGTACCATGCTGTTTTGGTGACTATGGCCTTAAAGTACAGTTTAAAATTGGGTAATGTGATGCCTCCAGATTTGCTTAGTCTTGCTTTGGCTATGCAGGCTCTTTTTGGGTTCCATGTGAATTTTAAGATTGTTTTTCTAGTTCTGTGAAGAATGATGGTGCTATTTTGGTGGGAATTGCATTGAATTTGTTGGTTGCTTTTGGCAGTATGGTTATTTTCACAACATTGATTTTACCCGTCCATGAGCATGAGATGTGTTTCCATTTGTTTGTATCGTCTATGATTACTTTCAGCTGTGTTTTGTAATTTTCCTTGTAGAGCTCTTTCACACGCTTGGTTAGGTATATTCTGAAGTATTTTATTTTTTTGCAACTATTGTAAAGGGGGTTGAGTCTTGATTTGATTCGCAGCTTGGTTGCCGTTGGTGTGTAGCGGAACTACTAATCTGTGTGCATTAATTTTGTATCCTGACACTTCGCTGAATGCATTTACCAGCTCTAGGAGCTTCTTGGATGAGTCTTTAGGGTCTTCTAGGTAAATGATCATATCATCAACGAAGAGGGACAGGTTGGCATCCTCTTTACAATTTGGATGCCCTTGGTTTCTTTCTCTTGTCTGATTGCTCTGGCTAGGATTTCCAGTACTTTGCTGAACAGAAGTGACAAAAGT